TATGAAAAACTATACATGGATGTTAAATATTTTTGCACCACAGAAAAACCTTTTTTAAGGTTTCTCAGAAATAATTTTATTGTAAAAAAGGCAAACAAACCAGAACAGTTAACTGTTGTTATCTAAAATGACAGATATCCAACATGCTTTTATATTGAAACGATGTAAGAATCTGGAATGTTTAAAGAACTAGTTAGTATTAATTTTAATAATTACTGATACTTTTATACAGTTATATTCCTATCTCATGCATTTCATTTAAAACAAACATCTCAGCATATAACAAATACTGTTGATTAGCTAGGAAAAATGCAAGAAAAACATTTAACTGGAAATTTTTGTTGACTTTAATTCAGCTAAGAATAATTCCTTGCATATATGCTTTAAAATATTTTACCTCAGTGGGGAAAAAAAGATAACTGTTATTTTAGATACTTCTAACTTTCATGTATTTGCTGCTCTGGGGAGAGAAAATGTACAGCTCTCTCCGGTAATATGTGCTTCAGGATTACAACTCGTCAACAAAAGGCAAATGCCCCAAGTTTCCATCTGCTGCCACTGACTTCTACCCACAAACTTCTTGGCAGTATTTATGGCATCATCAGCCACCAAGTCAGTCTGCTCAGGGACTGTGGACTCTGACGCCTAAGAATCAGCAGCTAGAGCCTGACTCAGCTTCATCCAGGAAACCCTCAGAAGATACCAGTGACATTACGTATTCAGCTTTCAGCTTGTTCTTGGCAGCTGGAACATCTATATCGGGCAGGTTTCCTGGAGCAATTAGTTTTACCTGGTTAAAGGGAGCTGCAGTAATAACTACAGCAGCAGCTGCTAAGGAGATACTGTAAATTCGTGAATCTAGAATCTCAGTAACTGGGGTTAAAAGTAGAAACATCAGACGGCTCGTGAACTCCCTTGCAAATGGACTAGTACAGAGGGCTGGTGGCATGGCTGACCCTCTTGACAAGTGGTCCAGCGCTGACGACATGCTAAAGAGAACACTAAATGCATCAGCATGGACAAGACTGTCTCCAGTCTGTTCTTGAATTTCACCCCCACAGTATTTGGCCTTAGCATCAGATAAACCAAGCCCATCCCTCACTACAGAAACCCAGGGACTTGCCTTAGAGCATGAGTCACACCAAATCCAATCAAATCCATTCTTGCACTTGCGTAATGGTTCTAAACATAGTAGTTACTACTCTGATATCATTTTTCCAATTCTACAGTCAGGACAGTACAAGGAACTGGCTGAGGCATTCCTGTAAGCCATAGCAAGCAAATTTTCAATGACTGGAGCCTATGGATGTTGAAAAGCCCCAGCTGTGTCAATCCTTAACTAAGAGACTCAATGGCAGCTACTTCCTTTTTTTTTTTTTTTTTTTTTTTTTTTGACAGGCAGAGTGGACAGTGAGAGAGAGAGACAGAGAGAAAGGTTTTCCCTTTGCCATTGGTTCACCCTCCAATGGCCGCCACAGCTGGTGCGCTGCGGCCGGCGCACCGCGCTGATCCGAAGGCAGGAGCCAGGTACTTCTCCTGGTCTCCCATGCGGGTGCAGGGCCCACGCACTTGAACCATCCTCCACTGCCTTCCCGGGCCACAGCAGAGAGCTGGCCTGGAAGAGGGGCAACCGGGACAGAATCCGGCGCCCTGACCAGGACTAGAACCCGGTGTGCCGGCGCCGCTAGGTGGAGGATTAGCCTAGTGAGCCGTGGCGCCTGCCGCAGCTACTTCCTAACACAAAATTCCAGTGCTATGGTGACAGTGAGCAAGGAATTCATTAGAATATTCATACCAGCCCCAGGCATTCCACACTATATATGCCATGTTTTCCCATGTAGCGGTCAAACTTAATTTACCACCAACCATTTCAATTCTACCTGTTATCTTGAAAGATGACCCACCTTCTATAGTCCAGCTAGATGTAGACACTGCAAATGAGAGGATCCTAAACTGTTGGAGACCTCATGTCTACGCCCTGTTTTAATAAACAAGCCAACTTTTTTTTAATGCTGATTTATTAATTTGAAAGATAGAAAGAGAAAATCTTCTATCTACTGGCTTACACTCAAATGCCTGAGCCAGGTTGAAGCCATCTGGCTCTCCCACGTGGGTACATGGGCCATCACCCACTGCCTCCCAGCGTGTGCATCAGCAGAAGCTGGATCAGAAAAGTGGAGTAAACAGGACTGAAACCAGGCACTCCAATGTGGGATGTGGGAGCACCGACAGTGACTTATCCTGCTGCACCACAGTGACTGCCCCTCAAACTATCCTTTTTTTGTTTTTAAGATTTACTTAGGGGCCAGTGCTGTTGCATAGCAGGTGAAATCACCACCTGTGGTGCCAGCATCCCAAATGGGTGCCAGTTCCAGGCTTGGGTGTTCCACTTCTGATCCAGCTCTTGCTATGGCCTGGGAAAGCAGCAGAAATGGCCCAAGTCCTTGGGCCCTAGCATCCACATGGGAGACCAGAAGAAGCTCCTGGCTCCAAACTGACTCAGCTCCGGCCATTGTGGATTTTTGGAGAGTGAACCAGCAGATGGAAGATCTCTCTCGCTCTCTCTCTCCCTCCCTCTCTCTCCCTCCCTCCCTCCCTCCTTGTCTCTCTGCCTTTCAAATAAAATATATTTACTTATTTGAAGGGAAGAGTGAGAGTCACACACACACACACACACACACACACACAGTCTGATTGATTCCATCTACTGGTTCCCAAATTGACACAATGGGTAGGGTTGGTCCAGGCTGAAGGCAGGAGTCCAGCACTCCATCTGGGTCTTCCAGATGAGTAGCAGGAATTCAAGTACTAAGGTCATTCTTCATTGCCTTCCTAGGCATACTAGCTGGGAGCTGGATTAGAAATGGAGCAGCTGGGGCCAGCACTGTGGGTAAAAGCGTCGCCTTCAATGCCAGCATCCCATATGGGCGCCAGTTTGAGTCCTGGAAGCTCCACTTCTGATCCAGCTCTTGCTATGGCCTGGGAAAGCAGCAGAAATGGCCCAAGTCCTTGGGCCCCTGCACCCACATGGGAGACCCAGAAGAAGCTCCTGGCTGCAGAACAGCTCAGCTCTGGCTGTTGTGGTCATTTGAGGAGTAAACCAGTGGAACTCTCTCTCTGGCTCTACCTCTCTCTGTAACTCTTTCAAATAAATAAAATAATTCTTAAAAAAAAAAAAAAAAAAAAAAAGGTTGGAGGAATGTCCAGGATGTAGAAAAGGGAGAGCAGCAGGGCTATTTCTGCTTGAGCAATGTAGTCTTTAAAAATTCTGACTTAGAGGAGTCTGCACAGTGGCATAATAGGTTAAACCTCTGACCGCAGGCTGGCATCCTATATGGGCACCAGTTCATGTCCCGGCTGCTCCTCTTCACATCTATTTCCTATGGCATAGGAAAGCAGTAGAAGATAGCCTAAGTACTTCAGCCCCTCCTCCCATGTGGGAGCCCTGGACGAAGCTCTGGGCTTCAGTCTGGCCCAGACCCAGCCATTGCAGCCATTTGGGGAGTAACTAGTGGATGGAAGGTCTCTCTCTCTCTCTCTGTAACTCTGCCTTTCAAATAAATAAAAAATAAATCTAAAAAAAAAACCCCAATATCTGCAGTAAGGGTCTATTATCCAGAATAGACAACTCTTACATCTCAATAAGACAAACAGCTCAATTAAAAAATGGGCAAAGAACTTGAATAGACATTTTTCTTAAAAATAAAAAATAGCCAATAATTAAGTGGCAAGATGCTCACCATGGTTAGCTGTCGGAGAAATGCAAGTAAAAACCACAATAGGACACCACTTCATTCGCACCCACTAGGATGGCTATTTTTTAAAACAATAACAAAAAATAAATATTGAAAAGGATATGGAGAAATTAAAAGCTTCATATATTGCTGATGTGAATGGAAAATGAATGGTGCAGCTGCAGTGGAAAACAGTTCGGTATTTCCTCAGTATTTAAAATATAGTATTACCATATGACTTAGCAATTCCACTTCTTGGTATAATATATAACCAAAAGAATTGTAAACAAGGACTCAAACAGATACTTACACATCAATAGGCTCAAAAGCATTATTTAAAATAGCCAAAAGGTAGAAACAACCCAAATGTCCATCAACAGATGAATAGATAACATACAATACAGTATTATTAAACAGGAATGAAGTTAAAGAAGAATGAAATCCTGATACATGATGTAACGTGGATGAACCTTTAAAGCATTATAATATACACAAAAGGGCAAATATTGTTACGGTTCTACTTATGTGAGGCATCTAGAATAGGCAAATTCACAGAGAGAAATAGTAGAATAGAGGTTGGCAGGCTCTGCAAGAGGAGACTAAAGAGTGACTGCTGGGGCTGGGGCTGTGGCGGAGTAGGTTAAGCCTCCGCCTGCAGCGCAGGTATCCCATATGTGCACCAGTTCACATCCCAGCTGCTCCTCATCTGATCCAGCTCTCTGCTATGGCCTGGGGAAGCATTAGAAGATGGCCCAGGTCCTTGGGTCCCTGCACCCATGTGGGAGACCCGGAGGAAGCTCCTGGCTCCTGGCTTTCGATCGGCTCTGCTCTGCTCATTGCAGCCATTTGGGGAGTGAACCAGCAGATGAAGACCTTTCTCTCTGTCTCTCCATCTCAAATAATTAAATAAAAAAAATCTAAAAAATAAATAAAAGAATATGAAAGTGGTTGAACCAAAATGAGGAGCAGAATAAAAAGATCAGAAGTAGGGTGATGAAAAGGCAGAAATTTCACCTGAGAACAAGGCCAAACTAAAAATAAAATAAAAACCAGTACAGGCAGAGAGCTGAAAGGTATGTAAACCTAGGAGTTCTGCGGTTCTTTTCTCTCACCAGTCCCCAGCCCCAAAGAAGTTTCCCTAGTTTGTTTTCAACTAAGAATACCCAAAGCTAAGCTATGTAAAGCCACCATACAGTCATCACTAACAGTCAGCAATGAACAGCTCACTGGTTCATGGGAAAAGGGTCAAAGAGCTGAGAATCTCACCATCTCATAAGCGAATGTTTCTTGTCGGCAGGCGCGATCTATGGTTATGGTTTCTTCCCGATGTTCCAAGAACCTCTTTCTAATCCTGTTGTAGATAAAAGAAAATAAAATAAAAAATCAAAGTTCAACATTCTTTACTGGGATTGCAAAAAACATCTTTAATTTTTATTTTGAACTAAATTTAAACTTCAAGTGGCAAAAACAGTACAGGGTTCCCTTATATCTCTTTCCCAGCCTCCCCTAAATTAAACCTTATATAACCCTAGAATTACCGAGAACAGGAAAACAACATTAATATTATAACATATATAATAATTAATCAACATTACTATATTATATCACTATAATATTATGTTATTATTATAATTATTATTAGACCCTTTTCAAATTTCACACAATTTTAAATGTCATTTCTTTTGTTCTATTCCAGATTCCTATACAGGATCCCCCATTGTATCTGTCATTTTTCCTTGATTCCCTCCAGTCTGTTATAGTTCCTCAGACTCTCCTGTCTTTCATGATCTTGACACTTTTGAAGAGCCCTTCAATGTGGATTTGACTGCTGTTTGCTCATCACTGGAGTAAACTTGGCAATCTGGGCAAGAATAAACATGAAGAATGATGTAATCAGAGTTCACATACCAGAAGGTCCATGATGGAAATATGTCATTTTACTGACGTCCACCTTGGTCAAGTTCCCTCTGCCAGGTCCCTCCACTAGACACTTCCTTTGCTTTAATTTCACCAAGGAATTTTAGCATTCATCACTAGATGTCGTCTACAACATTTGTTACTGTAGTACACCTGTAATGGTAATTTTGCATTTTCCATTTCCCTCCTTCTACATTTATCCATTGGGAATTCTTTTAGGAGGAAGACCTGTCCCTCTCCTCCCATTTATTTCATCATAATTAGTACCAACTTATAGATATTTACTTTATTCAAAGGATTAAAACCCAACACAATAATCACTTCGTTGCTGAAGTTATTCAGCTTTGGTCATGATGAACCCTCTCAGATTGGCTCCTGTTGTTTCAACAAGTTCTGATGCTTATTTTATGCACTTCTTTACTTTCTGACACTACAAAATGTTCAAGGCCCATCCTGTTATTATCTTGTCTTGGTCCTGGAATCAATCACTTCTTCTAGGAGTGCAGATCCTTTATTGGTTTAGAGGCCAGGATCTGAGTGCCAGGCATTTTCATTGTTACTGGGATAACTGTTGGGCCTCTGAACTGAGACAGGCAGGAAACAAATGTATGTGTATGATCCTGTGCATATATGTACAAATGTGTGTACTTCTGGATTTTTATACTTTATATTTAAAACCATGAGTTTATACTGATACTTTTGATGGCAAATTAAAACCACAGGATTCATTTTAGTCTTAAACCTTTCCTTGTTTACAACTTCTTTCTCCACAAGTGAGAAGGCCAGCTCTCATTACTGACATATTAACATTTGTTCAATTCTAATAAATAGTTACAGAATTGCTGACCTATACCCTTATAAGAAAACTGGTAAAAATTAAGAACATTTCTCTTTGTCTCCAGCCTTATATTATATCAAAATATACTTTTATATATAGACTTGAGTCTTAATTCCTTTTCCTCAACATCTTCAGTGTTAGCTTTCATTTATAATGCAATCAGGCTCATCTGTTAAGTTTTTGTTTTTTATTTTGGTTCCCATTTTTTTTTTTTAATTTATTTTATTTATTTGAAAGACAGAGTCACACGGAGAAGTAGAGACAGAGAGAGGGGTCTTCTAACCACTGGTTCACTAAATGGCTGCAACAGCCAGAGCTGGGCCGATCCAAAGCCAGGAGCTTCTTCCTGGTCTCCCATGGGAGTGCAAGGGCCCAGGGACTTGGGCCATTGTCCACTGCTTTCCCCAAATGGCCACAAGAGCCTGAGCTGAGCTGATATGAAGCTAGGAGCTAGGAGCTTCTTTTGAGTCTCACACATGGGTGCAGGGGCCCAAGGGCTTGGGGCATCTTCCACTGCTTTCCCAGGCCATAGCAGAAAGTTAGATCAGAAGTGAAGCAGCTGGGAACTCGAACCAGTGCCTATATGGGAAGCCAGCACTGCAGATCGGGGCTTTAACCTGCTGTGCCACAGCACCGACTCCCCGACTTGTTTTTTTGTTTGTTTGTTTTGTTTGTTTGTTTTTGACAGGCAGAGTGGACAGTGAGAGAGAGAGAGAGACAGAGAGAAAGGTCTTCCTTTTGCTGTTGGTTCACCCTCCAATGGCCGCTGTGGCTGGCACGCTGCGGCCAGCACACCGCGCTGATCCGAAGGCAGGAGCCAGGTGCTTCTCCTGGTTTCCCATAGAGTGCAGGGCCCAAGCACTTGGGCCATCCTCCACTGCACTCTCGGGCCACAGCAGAGAGCTGGCCTGGAAGAGCAACCGGGTCAGAATCCAGCGCCCCGACCGGGACTAGAACCTGATATGCCAGCGCCGCAGGCAGAGGATTAGCCTAGTGAGCCGCGGCGCCGGCCTCCCCTACTTGGTTTTACTGTCTTTTTATTTCTGAGATAAGTGAAAGATGGGTGAAACATGACTATGACTTTAAAAGTCACAAGTGTCACTGTTTCTTTGCCCCCATTTACTTGTTCTAATTCCCTCCTTCTTTACATACCTTTCACATGTAACTGCTGCAGACAACCAATCACTACAACTCTGGGTTCCATTTCTTTTGTTCAAATGAACAGATATTTGTGTATTTTATCTCTTGTACCAGTATAAATTCAATTAGGAGGAAGAAATGGACCAGTAATTTGAACAGAGAAAGCTTAATCTAAGGAATTACTAACTTTAACAGAGGACTGGAGTAATGAAGCATTGTCAAGGAAGAAGTAAAGGGAACCCTAAAGAATAAAGGAAGAGCAGATATAAGGAGCACCCTTCCCCTAAGGCTGAGAAAAAGTTCCCAAGGAAGTCCATTTCTTCCTGCCAAGATTCAAGTCCAGACTTGTTAGGGAGGACATGGCTGTAACAAGGAGGGCAGAGAAGTCACTAAAGTGCTGCATCAGCAGAACTGGCTGAAAGTCCACTCCCCAGGGCACCAGCAGAAGTGTTCAGGGAAGTATCAATGTGAGTGCGGGAGGTTGGGAAAGGTGCTGGGCCTTGGGTGCACTGTACTGCAGAAGTCTGGCACAAAGGAAGCTGTGTGCACTGCAGGATCCTGCCGAGCCAGTACACTGGACCAGAAAGCAAAACGAATCTTCCCAGGTATCCGCAAGATCTCTGCATCCCTCTTTCTGACAACACTTAATAATGTGCCAACTGGCAATAGAAAAACACTTATATTTAAAGGGTCAAGGTCTATTTTAACAGAGCTGGCAAAAGGAATAATCTGTCGAAGAGAGCCGATAAATTACACCCGCCACACCTTATTTCCTACCTAAAAGATAGCACATGCTTAGGAGCTTAGCTTTTTTCACCAACTAGTACCCAGACATCCTGAATATCACTTTTTCATACTTTATTAATTTGCTACAAGATATTCCACTGTGTAGATTTCCCATAAGTAGTGTTCAAAATTATTCTACATAAACAATTTAAGGTATCTGAAATATTTTTCGATCACAATGCTACAATGAATAACCTTTGACATGTGTATTTTCAGTATAGTTTGAAAGTCAGATAATGGGTCAAAAGGTAAGAGCAAATGCAGTTGTGTTGGGTACTGCCAAATTCCCCTAGAGGAGAGCTACACCAATCTGCCTCCCCAAGCAACTTCCAAATATGTTTGTTTCCAAAGCTGCATCGACGATGGAATGTGTACTTTTAAAATTTGTACCAATCGGAGAGGCCGGCACTGTGGCGCAGTGAGTTAACGCCCTGGCCTGAGGAACCGGCATCCCATACGGGTGCCAGTTTGAGACCCAGCGGCTCCACTGCCGATCCAGCTCTCTGCTATGGCCTGGAAAGCAGTGGAAGATGGCCCCTGTCCTTGGGCCCCTGTATCTGTGTAGGAGACCCGGAAGAAGCTCCCGGCTCCTAGCTTCAGATTGGCGCAGCTCCAGCTGTTGTGGCCAATTGGGGAGTGAACCATCAGAAGACCTCTTTCTCTCTGTGTAACTCTTTAAAGTAAATAAATAAATATTTTTTTAAAAATTGTACCAATCTGAAAGGTTAAGAAAAGGTATCTTCATGTAGTTTTAACATTCTTACAAGTGTGTTTTGGCTTTCTTTAAATGTTTACGAGCCTTTTTTTTTTTTTTACTTTTGTCTAAATTGCTGGTTTGTGTCTTTTTCCCAGCTTTGGTCTTTGTTCAATTTTTAAGAATTATTCTACATCAGAGGTAATTAGGACTTTGTGGAACACATTATAAATATTTTCTCCAAGTTTGGCAGTTGTCTTTTGACTTTAATAGTGTCTTTAGTCATGCAAACATTTTTAATTTTTAGGTAGTCAATTTCATCATTTGTTTAAAATCACAGTTGGAAAGTCTTTCAGGTGTTACATTTTCTACATTTTGATCCCTAATCTCCTTGGAGCTTATTCTTTTTATTTTTTTTTAAAGATTTATTTATTCATTTGAAAATCAGAGTTACAGAAAGAAGGAGAGGCAAAGAAAGAGAGAGAGTTCTTCCATCGGCTGGTTCATTCCCTAACTGGCTGCAATGGCCGGAGCTGCGCCGATCCAAAGCCAGGAGCTTCTTCAAGGTCTCCCACCGGATACAGGGGATCAAGGACTTGGCCCATCCTCCACTGCTTTCCCAGGCCATATCAGAGAGCTGGATCGGAAGTCAAGCAGCCGGGACTGAAACCAGCACCCATATGGGATGCCGGCACTGCAGGCGGCAGCTTTACCTGCTATGCCACAGTGTTGGCCCCGGAGTTTATTCTTACATGTAGTGCCATACTAAAATGTTCATATGTGTTTGACTCTAACTGGACTTTCTAATCTGTTCCACTGGTCTACTTGTTCATGATCCAGTACCTACTGTTTTAATTATAAAGGCTTGGTAGTATATTTTAGTATCTGATAAAATTGCCACTCTATCATAATTTTCCCTCCTAGCTATTCTTGCATGTTTTTCATATGAAATTATTAACTGTCTAACTCCATAAAA